CTGATGAGGGAAGGTGCACCGAACCTCCGGTACACACATTCTTCAAAGCTTGAGCTACTCTCAGAGCAGTCGTGTCTGCCATGGTTTTGCCCATCACATACCCTGTGAATGTGCATTGGAATAGTAAGAGCGCTGTATTACCCCGCCGAGATTTCGGTAAGGGTATCACAAAATCCATCGAAACAACCTGAAACGGTCGTTCCGCTAGTATGTTCCCCGGAGAGTATCCACGGATCTTCGGTCGGCTTTTGCTTGAGCTACAGTCGGGACAGCACCGCACGTGTCTCGCCACGTCTGAGTATAGACCGATCCAGTAATAATCCAACTTCACTCTGTTGAAAGTCCGAGCGATCCCTTGATGGCCTCCTTCTAACGAGTCGTGGCAGTTCTGCAGTACCTCTTGAATCATCGTTGAGGGTACCACTAGACGCAGCATCGCGTCTCCTTGCTGTTGGTCACTCCTCAGATGCCTCGTTCCCACATAGTAGAGTACATCGTCCTCACTTAGGACGAAGTGATCGGACATTTTCCATGCGTCTCTCTCTGCACGGTACGTTAGGGTTGATTCTTCCCCACGGAGAACTGTCTTCAAATTCGCCCACCGTAACTCCTCGTCCTGAGCAGTCGCGATCCTTCTTCGACGTTCTCTTTGGACCGTTAGTCCTCCGCGTCAGGCGACGCGGGGGTCGTACCGTTGGGTGCCGCTACTCTTGATAACTCTGCTTCTAGACGGACCGACCTGAATCCTCTGTTGGTACACCATTGACTTCCTCTGGTTGTGCTACGTCTTCTCCACCTGCCACCGAGGTTTCGTCGGCAAATCTGACGCGTTTGGGCTTCGACCTAGCTTGCAACCTGGTCGTTACCATTAGGTCCCCTGTCTCCCTCTGGTCCCTTCGCACAAAATCGAAGAATTTTTTTCGACGCGGCTCCAGGACGGTTCCGGATCGCCATGACGGTTCCATGTGTCGCAAATGTCGCGTCTGAACTTGCGCTTGTGCAATGCTAACCGAGGGTTCGTCCGCCGAGGGAGATGGGTGCATAGATGACCTCTTGGGTGCGGTTCAGTGAATTCAACTCTGCTAGCCTAGACTCGTCAGATATAACGTTTGACGCCTTATTTTCCAATGCTTCCGTTGCTAACGAGTCGGCCGACGCATTGTACTCTTGTACATCGTCTAGGTACTTGACTGACTTTAGTCGTGCAACGAGTTCTCGGTGGCGGTTGAGTTGGGTCATCAGCGACTCCTTCTTACACGCAATCACCCCTAGTGACTGCTGGATTGCCAGTCTCGAATCACCAACAATGACAAGGTCGGTGGCACCAAT